AAAGAAAGAAAGAAAGAAAGAAAGAAAGAAAGAAAGAAAGAAAGAAAGAAAGAAAGAAAGAAAGAAAGAAGAAAGAAAAGGAGGGAGGGAGGGAGGAAAGAAAAAGGTACTGTCTTTGTCCTAAAAAAGCTCAGAACGCAGCCAAATGCTTCTGGGCATCAATTCAGAAAGCGAGAATGGAGCCTACAAAGGCAGGGTAGGATTATATTGCCTGAAGTGTACAGACAATACCAATTGCAGCTATTCCCTGAGCAAAAAGTTAAGGTTTGGGTTGACAGCAGGAGAGGAAGCCAGAAAGGCATGCAGTGGACACGTCTGAAAGAGCTTGGGCTTTTTACTATGACAACTCAAGCTGCTTTTGGTGGAATCTCAAGGGGATACGCATTTTCCTGCAGCATGAATTTCATTAAAATAATCTTAAGTACAAAAGCATACGTTTTCTATTATTAAAATATGGATATATTATGTAATTGAATGCAATAGCATATGAATTAGTAAAATGTGACAGGAAACGAAATTGCACAGATGGGCAGGCTGACGGTTTTGGCTCTTTTCCCTGAAAAGTCTGCGGCAGGACAGCAGGAGAACATTATTTTAAATGTACGAGAGAAGCGTTAATAGTTAAGAACACGGACTGCAGAAAGGCTGCGGTGCAGGGAGCTCTAGTGCTCTGCTCTGTAGAGCTCTCATTCCGAAAAGACCCTTCACAAGGTGCCCCTTCGTCACCAGACAGCGCTTCTAGGCCAAGTGCTGCCCTTTCAACTCCCGGCGCCTCGTTGCCAGGGCAACGCCTGTCCGCCCGCAGCCTCGACGGCCTCCTTGCTATTGGCTTAGAGGAAGCAGCGTGCGTCTGACGTCACTGCACAGCGCCGCCAGATCCGGGCACCGTGCAAAGGCCCCGCTTTTTTCCCCCCTCCCGGAGGCAGGCGGCGGGTAGAGGGGCCACAGTTTTTGGCCGAGAGGGTGCAAGGCAAAAGCCTAGTTGGAGTGGAGGCTGGTGTGCGAATCGCCGCGGGAGAAGCGCGGTAGGAACGAGTCTCAGGTGCTGTGGGCCGCGGGTGCGGGGATCCAGCAGTGCGCAGGCGCCCTCGGCCAAGCGGACTTCCCTCTGGCCTGTTGCTAGGGCCGCCGGACTCCGTTGCTAAGGTCCCTGGAGATGCTGAGCGCCAAGTGCTCGCCCTCTTTTCTGAGGTCCGGCTTCGACAGTTTTAATTGAAACAAGCAACTATTCCCCCTTCCCGTCCGTTTAAAAAAAAAAAACGGTTTTTCTTTCCTTTTTCTGTGTGTGCTCCTCATTTTGTAGCTTTGACAACACCCCGGCTCTTAGGTATTTGGAGATGTATGATGGAGAGGGAGAAGCTAGGAAAATGGAAATCAGGTTTTAAGATCCTTAATACTGGCCGTTTGGATTTACTTTATGATTAAAAGGGATTGAGTGGATTTGGGCTCTATCGCTGTTGTTTGAAATCTGAAGGAGCTTTAGCAATGCAGCACAGATTCTATAGTAGGGTGCTTATTTGCTTCTGTAACTTAATAACTACTGGATTAGAGAGTAGGAAAAAAACGTGGTCCCTGCCTCTGAGAATTTAGCAAGCACTTTAGTGCAGTGATCTCAAATTGAGGTGCGGGGAAGTTGGAACACATAGGAAAAGAAATAAGATATCTGAATTAAAAAGTATGAAATAATGAAAGAAATCATGAAAAACATTAATATGCCTATCTGGCATTGCCACGGAAAGGAAGTATGCCTACCTAGCATTGATATGGATGTCTGTAGTGTTTTGCAGATGACCTGAAGCTCTTAAAAGAAACCTAAGGGAACCATGAGTGTTTTCCACAGTGGAGCCCTGTGTGGTTTGTTTTACTCTCTGATATTGTGACATAGTTAAGTGGATTTAGGGATTCTACTGTATTTAGATCTTCATATTGTTTTGTAAAAGAATGAGGGGTGACCTTGACAACATTAATAACACAAAATAGTTCTTACCTTTTCACTTCCTCCCACCATTACCCCCTTTCACCACTCTCCGTAACATAGTATGTCTTGAAAGTGGGCATAGAAATGTTTGCATCATTGTGTATGTGTTTTTGATGTTGTTGCTGAAAATCACATAAGTACTGTCAGGTACACTTAAAACCTTTGCAAGCTCAATTTACTGAATGTTTAGAAGTTTTTCAAATGAAGAGTTCTAGTGGCTTTTTGAACTCATTCAAAATATAATGCAGCAACTCCCCATTAGTTGCAGGAACAACTTTTTGACATAAAGGAAGATAGAAATTTAGTTGTTCCAACAGAAACTTTTGCAGAATTGGTAGGTAGCATTGAAAATTGTACATAATACTTTGATGTGGCCAACTATACTCTTTTTACATTTGTGGGTAGGCATTTTTTGATGCATCTTTTTCAGCTATGATAGCTATTCAATTTATGATTTAAACAAACTGAACTTAAACCAGATCTTCAAATTGATATAGCTCATGGTATTAAACCAAATTTTCCAAAAGATGGAAACGTATTTAGTTGCACTGACTGCACTATTATTAGTAATAAAAAATACTAAAACAACTTTGTACCATCATAAAGAAAGTGATAATATCTAAAGTGCATATACCACATGCTATGTGCCAAGCACTTTCTTAATTTTACATATATTAATAGTTTTCCTTAACATTTAGAAGTAGTTATGGTAATTATCTCCAATTATAGAGTTGAAGAAATTGAGACAGATTTCTTTTTAGAAACAAATTTAAATCACATTGTACCCATCAGGAGCTTGTTAGAACAGAGACCAGTAAAAATACTTGTTAAATAATCACTGAAGTATAATATTAGATGGACATATTTAAAGCTTATCTTAGCTTGTCTTCGAATATTATCTGACAAATTTACCTACCATTTCTAGAAAATACCTTAGGGATGAATGTGAAGTGGACTTTACCTGTGTTGCCTTAAAATCTTACAGTGTAATTAAGGGGTAGTAATATATATAGTGATCATATTAAAGGCTGATTTAATGTAATTGGGTGAGTGGAGTAATCAAGGAGAAATAAGAAGGAAGCCGTGCAGAAATCAGACTGCCGTGGAAGTATATGCTTGAGAAACAGAAGATGAGGAAAGGCTGCATGAAACTTGCGATTGGATCTAGACCCAGAAATAACAGCAATCAGTTGGGTATATGAGTCTGGTTGCATGTGGTGGTGGATTCCTTGGTAGAGATAAAAGTTTAGAAATAATTTGATTGATTAGACAGGAAATCATTGGCTATGAACTAGATCCCTCCCTTTTTGCAGAAAAGAGGTGGTTGTGGAAGAGGGAGAAATGAACCACCATTTGCTAGATGAGCAACTGGATATGTTATCTTATTTACTGGGTAACAGGCTTGATAAGCTAGTATTATCGCCCCCTTTTGGTGGGTAGGGAAATTAAGGCTTAGGGAGATTTAATTATCTACTTAAATTAATAACTGGTAACTCATAGATAGGACATACAGACCCAGATCTGAGCCCAGAGCTCCTCCTACCTCATCACACCACGGCGGTCACATCTGTAAGGCTGAGTGTAAGAGGCGAGGGAAACAATGATCCTAAGTTTTTCAGCATGAGGGACCCGAAGACTGGTGGTACCTTGAATTAAGGGGTTCATAGTTTCACTGTGATAACCTGAGTTTTGGTTAAGTTCAGTTTAGCGAGCTTGTGGTACATTGAATAGAAGAATTCATTATGTCTCTAGAAAAGTAGTACTTGATATGCAAATGTTAAAATTTGTAACTTTGAAAAATAGAGGTCAGAGAAAGTGAAGATAGGGGAATGTGCCAATCATTCCTTTCAGAAATCTAGCCTGTTTTCTGACTATAGCCAGAGGATTGCAGTTGAGTTTCTAAGATAATATTTTGACAATTTGAATGGAAAAAACGTGTTTATTCTTACACATATTATTTTCTTACAAATGTTTTTAATTGTATTGAAGTTGCTATCATTTCATGTTTTCTCATTGGTCTTTCAGGCATTTTGCTCTATGCCATACCTTTTGTGTATCTTTTACTGTATTTTCTACTCTGTTCTGTTTGGTTTTTATATTATTAATGAACCCCCCTCCAGTTTTTTAAATCAAGCTTCATTTAACTGCAGGAGTAAAAGGGAAGCAATGCAGAAATCAGAGTGCCAAGAAGGTGTACAGTTGAGAAGCAGAGTGACAGGTACAGAACACTGTTTTTTAAGTGAAGAGGTGAAATTTATTAATGACACTTCACATTCTATTGTGTAGATGGATGGAGGTGAGCTTTATCGGTTTCACCTCATTTTGTTGCTGGTATGTTTTTTCCAGGTAACTGTGATCAGAGGACATCATCAAGGACACAAATTAAACATAGGACTACAGCTGAACGCAGCAAATCCTCATCATCTGTCGGTTCCCCAGAGTCTGCAAGAAAACTTCTTCCTCGACCAAGTGATAAACTTAACCCTAAAACAATTAACCCTGTAGGTAAAAAGAGATTCCTGACTCAGTAGATTTTTCAAAGTAATAGATGCTTAGCACACTATCGAACCATTCTGAATGCTCTCCCAAGTTTCTTTTGTTTGTTAGTTTTAAGCTAGTGAGGAAGGAAGGTAATCACGATGACGAATGGAGACAACTATGTGCGTGTAGGAGCCAGAAAGTATAAACTAGAGACCAGCCAGTGTTGGTATATCCTTTCTTGCTTTTGGATGAATATTGTAGAGTATAAAATAAATTGCATATCATCTTTATTTTTTATATTAACTGTGGTCATTTTACTTCCTAACATCAGTGAATAAACTTGTGTTCATTTGCCATAGAATGAATTCCATGCGTCCATAATTGTGAAAAGATCTCTGACCATTTCTCTGTGATCTATAAAATAGCTCCGCCACAAATCCTAACTATAAGATTAGCTTCCTTTTGTCTTCTAGCAGTTGTTTAATCAGATTTAACAAACAGATTTAACAATGAGAGTTATGCACATAAAAGTGAAAAACTAAATGTGTCGGTCAGTGAATTATCCCCAAAGTGAACACCCCTGTGCCACAACACCAGGTGGTGCCTGGCCTAACCTTGCATAGGGTAAGATAATGGTTTCAGCCTTTAAAGGGGATGAAAAGAGTGACTGACACTGAATTTGATGGCAGGTAAAATACTGCAGATACTTAAAGATAAAAAGAACTATCCAAGGGCAGAAAGAGATTATCTGCTTTTATGAAAGAAGAATGAAAAATAGTTTAAGCATCCTTGTTCCTTTGTTTCTTTCTGCATTCTGCCCAATGTCAGGGAAACTGAGTACCTGAAGAATGCCCTGGTTTCTCTTTGCTATGGCTTCTTTTTCTCATATTTAGTTGAGGGAGCTTATGGTGATACTTCAGTTTTCTTTGCTCTCTTTAAAGAAAAGTTGTAAAAAATAGTAATATTTAGTAGACCTAGTCTTAAATTTTATTAAAAGTTAAGGAAAATCTTGGGAAATAATTATAGGCATACCTCAGAGAGATTGTGGGTTCAGTCCCAGACCACCTCAGTAAAGCAAGTCAGATGAACTCTTTTTTTCCCAGTATGTATGAAAGTTCTGTACACTATACTGTAGTCTGTTAAGTGTGCAATAGCATTGTATCTAGAGCAATGTGCATACCTTAATTAAAAATTACTTTCTTGCTAAAAAATATTAACCATCATCTGAGTTTTCAGTGAGTCAATATCACTGATCACAACTCACCATAACAAATATAATAATAATGAAAAGGTTTGAAATATTGCAAGAATTGCCGAAATTGGATAGAGACACCAAGTGAGCAAATGCTGTTGGAAAAATGGCACTGATAGCTCAACATAGGGTTGTCACAACTTTCAATTAGTAAATAACACAATGTTCTGCATAGCACAGTATAAAGCAAATGCAATAAAATGTAATAAAACAATGCCTGTAATGATTTGACTTGAGAATAGAGTGTATTAGAAAAGACCATGCCTAAGACTGTAAAGCTCACCAATTCAAAACAAGTCACCTGAAAGTCAGGATAGTGGTTACCTTTGGGGGAAGGGGTGGGTGGGGATCGGGAAGAGGAAAGGTTTCTAGCGCACTGGTGACGTTCAGGTTTGCCACTTGACTGTTACATAGGTGTGTTCACTTGAGAATTCATTGATCTATGCACTTACAATTTATGTGCTCTAATGTGCATACATTTTAAGTATTTCACTTGAATCAAAAAATTTAAAAAAATGTAACTCAGTATAGTACTGTATATTTAGTAATGTTGATTATTTCAGAGTTAAAATATGGTCTGATACTGTTAGGTTGAAAGGGGCAAAAGTTTTTTCATACTAGCACAATTTTGGCAAAATTTGCTAAAAATTGATCAAATGAATCCATTGGTAGAAAAAATTTTGATGATGTGGGACCTGGAAGATAAAACTATGATTTTCTCTAAAATGAGTTAAAAAGAAAAGGAAAGAAACTGCTTAGACTTTCACTCAGAAATTTTGTCTTGGTGGGTATTTTAGAAATGGAGAGGTTGCTTACATAACCTGTAGGTCCGAAAAGTAAGATCATTTGATACTAGGTGGTAGAACTAGAAAAGTGTTTGTAGCACTAACTTAAATTTTACCCCAAAAATAAGCAATACTTTTTCATGTAATTCTTTATCTGATATGATTATTACTTGAAAACAATTTTTAAAACTTATTTTTCTTAGCAAAAATTATAAGTAGATGAATGAAACATTACTGTTGCTACAGGAGTTGAATTGAGCCTTGTAAATTAATCTTTTACTAAACTATTTTAATGAAATTTCATCTATGTATTTATACTTAAAACATGTTTTTCAGAGGAAAAAGGGCTGATTCCAAATGTATACTCTTCAGCGTCTTTTTAAATTGCTGCATGTGATTTTAAAAAATTGTCTACTTCTATCTTTAAAAAGGGTTGTAAGTTTATATTTTGTAATTTAGATAACTTTCATTTGATTATATTCAAAGTATCATATGGTAAAATATTTACTTGTGGATAAAATTTCTAAGTCTCTGATTATATTGAAATTATATATGCTGTGATTATTTAACTATTATGATTCATCATCTCTTAAATTGTCTTTGAAGGTAGCTATAGAATTAATTTTTTCTTGCCATGATATATAGAAAAACTGAAAGTTGTGAAGTTATGTATCTAAGCAGACACGTCTAGGCATGTGTTTAGTAAGAGTCTTACTCCATCTTCAATTCTACCACCCAGTCTAGCCTAAGTCTTTGTTATAGAAGAATAAAATCAATTTGGGAAAATCACAGTATTTCTGACCATGCAGACCATCCATATTTGACTGGTGGAAAAGTAGATGTGCTTGAGGCCGAAGATAAGTATACTGTCCCTGTACTTAATACCTCTTCTCCATTCAGTCATGACCTTGAGAGAGGTCACAGTGGGGGAGGGGTGGAAGGATATACTATCTTTAATATATTTATGTTATTTATATTGAATAATATTTATCTCTACTGTCTTTATTATATATAAAGTTTCATCTACCTTTAAGCCTTATGAAACAAGTTGGGGCCAAAGAAAATATACAAAGTGGTTGTGGTTTCAGTGCTGCAAGGACCGAGGACCTGTAATTAGTCATGTTGCTGAGTAGAAAGATGCACCTGACACCGGTGTGGTGGCTTGGAAATCTGGTTGTCCATTTTCCTCTGACCTCAGCAGGGTTAAAATTTATTAGACATCACAAATGGAGGGATAGCAATATTTATTGTGTTCTTGTCATTTTTTACTTCAGTTCGGTGAACAGTCGCGAGCCCCCTCTGCCTTTGCAGCCATTTACTCTAAAGGAGGTATTCCTTGCAGGTAAAATCAATGCAGGTTATAACTGACCATATTATTCAAAATAATTGAGTAAAATCAGTATAGTGTTCAATTTAAATGTATTGGAAGTTTTATTTATGAGGGAGGTTGAAATAAAGGTGACTTATTCAGTTTGGCTGTTGAATTGTTATGAATCCTGGGACATTGTTGAAGAAAGTCATTTTAATTACAAAATAGAATTATAAACCACTGAATAATTTAAGAAAGTGAATGAATTCGTTTCTAAAACAAACTAAGCATTCACAGGCTTGGGCAAATTACAAATAATTACTCCTATTTTGTTTAAAAACAAAGTTGACAATTTAGTGAAATTGGTTCATTTTTTTTTTGAAATTGTATTTTAAAAATTTCCAAATTATATTTATTGAAATGCATTCCTTAATGAGTACATACAGCTGTTTTTCTTTTCTTCTTTTTTCTTTTTGCTGCCTTTCTGGACAGACATCAGAACTAGTTTAAAGAAAACAATAAGGTTACTTGTCAGTGATGATCATTTTAAGATTTTACTTCTGAGGAACATTTATTTCTTCTAAGTATATCCAATTTTAGTTCTATATGATAGAAAATTTCATTTTCATTGTGGAAAGAATCACAAACATTGTTTTTGTTTTTCTAAAATATAAGAAATGTCATTTTGTAATAGTATTTTTAGATTTGGAGGACTGTGAGTGAAAAATCAGCTCAAGAAGCATTCTTCAATTGATTATTATTATTTTGTATTTACTCTGAATCCAAACTTTATATTAAGGTTCTTAAACTTCTCTCCAAAAAATGTAAAAACAATTGTTAAGGAGACTTCTTGCTATTGTGAAAATAACACTAACAAAGGTGTCAAGACGTTGAGAACATTACAAAAGGGGTGTAAGAAAACATCTGAGGGGATGAGTCACTGTGGTGAATGTGATGATTGTTCCGTGGATGATTCATATATCAAAACTTACCAACTTTTACACGTTGTAAGTTTGTGCACTGTATTGCATGTTAGTTAGGCCTCAATAAAGGCTGTTATAAAACATAAACAAAAACAGCAGCAACAGGATTCTAATTCAAGGGGTGACTACTTTGTAACCCTGCCTGGGCCATTTCACTTTCCTGGGCTCAGTTGTCTTCTCTGCACTGGGATAAAACCTGGCTTCCCTTCAGAACATTAGTGTTAGGATTAAATAAGCTGTTTCTGAAAAATGTTGTTCCTTGTAAAACTAATTATTCCTAATTATCACATTTTGTTTGCATGTGTATAGGTTATCTATTCATTATAATTATGACTGAAACGTATCAGGTGCAGCATTTGCATTAAGACTCACAAACAACAGCATGCTTAAGCTCCAAAACTGCAGGCTTAACGTATGTAGTTTTACTACTTAACAGTTTTGCTGAAAGAACAGGTATCTGCAGGATTATAAGAATTGCTTTGTAAGATGCCTTTGTAATACCACTTAACGTCATGGATTTCCTACATTACAAAATAATATGCTCATGTTCTAGAAAGGGTATGTATATGTTAGATAATAATCATTGCTTAGTATATAATTATACCACCCTTGTTACATTCACTGATTTTCTATTGTAGATTGGTCCATGGTTCCGTAAAACACAGATTGCAGTGGGAATGTGCTCCTGAAAATCTTCCATTTGATCCTCTTCTTATTACTTTAGCTGAGGTAAATAAATATTCCATCTCTCCTGCATGTTTATGTGAAATAATATTTTAAAACTGTATTAAATGTTATTTTGTAGCTCATCAGTAAATCTCATTCTTTACTTTTGAAATAAGGGCCAAGCAATCAGCATTAAAACAGTACACTCCCTTAGGAGCTAACTATGATTGGTATATGTTTATTGGAAACTGATTAATCAGCTTTATAAACATGAACTTAAACTTCACAGGGATTTATAGATAAGTGGGTGAAATATTCATATTTAATTTTTAAAAAAAGTACTTGGAATCGTACTGAACTGGTCAAATCAGGAGACCATCAGTGGTTGAACATTAAATCATATCAGATAACAATGAGCAGTTGATCTATTTCTATACAACCAGTTATGTTTAACATGAGCTCTTTCTTACAGAACTGATATTAACTACCTAACATCCTTTTGGTAGTTTTGGGGCTTTTGTCTACTTGCATATTTTAATCAGATCATCATGGAGTGGTTTTTGTAGAGGATTTTAGAGAAACTTCTGATAGATTCCTTTATGCATTTATTGTGTGTGTCAGCTAAAATGTTGGTGGAATAATAGCTTCAAGTACATTAATGGTATCTTCTGTAAGTTTTGTTCCTAGTGTTAGGGTCACAAGTTGAGAAATGAATTAACCAGTTGTCTTATATTTAAATTTTTAGATACTTGGCTTTTTTAAGAATTAAGGGTCATTTTTTGTTATTGTTAAGAAATAACAAATATCCTTGAATTATAGCTTTGGTATTAATCTAAATAGCGTTTATAGGATATCATTATAGTAGTAAGTAATCTAAATAAAAATGACAGTGAAAGAATTCAGACTTTTTTTTTTCATTTAA